ATTTGCATTACCTTAGATTGTGCAACAGTTTCTTAAACGTGACACCAAAAGCACAAGCAATAAAAGAAAAATTAAATCGTACTTCATCAAAACGTAAAACTTTTGTGTATCAAAGGATATAATCCATAAAGTGAAAAGACAACTCACAGAACTGATGAAATATGTGCAAATCATGTCTGGTAAGGTAACAGAATTCAGAATACATAAAGAATTCTTGTAATTCAACAATAAAGACAAATAATCCAATTTAAAAATGGATAAAAGATTTAAATAGATTTTTCTCCAAAGAAAATATAGATGGTCAATAAGCACATGAACATCAGAACATTATCAGAGAAATGCAAATTAAAACTGCAATGAGACATCACTTCACACGCAGTAGGATAGCTGGAATCAAAAAGCCAGATGAAGTGTCGATGAGGATGTGGAGAAATTGGAACCAGCACACTGTTAGTGGGAATGTAAAATGGTGCAGCCACTGTAGAAGAATTTGGCAGTTTCTCAAAAAGTTAGATAAAATTACCATGACAACAATTCTACTCCTTAGATATGTAAACAAGACAACTGAAAACATGTTCATACAAAACATACAAAAAAGTTCATAGCAGCATTATGCAAAATAGTCGAAATGTGGAAACAACCCAAATGTCCCTCAGCTGAGGAATGGATAAATAAAAGGTGATATATCCATACAAAAGACTAGGATTCCATAAAAAGGAATAAAGTACAGTTACATGTGACAACAACAACATGACTAAACCTTGCAAGTGTTATGCTAAATGAAAGCAGCCAGTCAGAAAAGGCCACATGTTGTATGATTCCATTTACACAATATGGTCAGAATAGGCAAATCCATAAAGACAGCAAGTAAATTAGTAGTTTCCAGGGAATGAGGAAAGGAAGAAATTGGGACTAACTGATAATAGCTATGGAATATCTTTTTGGGGTGATGGAAATGTTTTGAAATTAGATAGTGGTGATGGCTGCACAACGTAAGAAGTATACTACAAACCAATGGTGTATACTTTAAAATGATGAATTTCATGTTATATGAATTATATCCCAATAAAAAATGCTGAAGCAGAACTGTCAAAAAGTATACTAGATAATTGGAGAATTTGAACAAAGATGTTCATTTGATGATTAAGGAATTACTGTTAATTTTGAGAGACATAGTACTCTAATAGTTTTTTAAAAATCTTTATCTTTTAGAAATAATTGCTTAAGTATGTATGGATGATATTGATGATGTTTGACATTTCTTTCAAAATAATCTAGTATAGGGGGTACTGAAGTATGCATGGGAATATAAATGAAACAAGATTAGCCTTGTGTTGACAACTATTGAGGCTAGGTAATGGGCAGTGCATTCTCTATAATCAAAATTCTCCCGAATCAAAAAGTAAAATCAGTAACTATAACTGTAACGAAATGAGTAACTGTAGTGAAATGAGGGATCTAGAAAACAATCATCAATGAATTAAAAAAGAAAACATTAGAAGATTGACAGGGAATTTTATTATGTGTAGAACAGGTTGATAACATCTGAAACCAATATTCAAGATCATTTTGTGCCTCCTGAGGTAATGCAAAAGGAAATACAGATTACCTATGAGGCATTCTTACCAAAAATTTGAACCAGAATCTAATTAAGCTGCTAGCATTAACTATGAGTTTTATAGGAAATATGAAGATTAGAGAAATCATTTAAATGACACCACAAGAAAAGAACCAAATCTAGAATGTGGAATATACTTCAAACAAAAGTCTCAGTTTTTTTAAAAAAATAAACTACAAGAAACAGGGTGAGATATAAAAAGATTTTAAAAGAACTAAGATATGTAAGAACCATTACAATGTGTACACCTTGTTTGGATCCTGATTTTACTAAGCCAACTACAAAAAGACATTTTGAAACAACCATGGCAATGTGAATATGAACTGAGTAAAAGGTATTACTAAGGAAATATTGCTAATTTTGTAAGGTATGATAACAGCACTATAATTACGAAAGAAGTTGTTATCTGTTAGAAATGCATACTGAAGAATATTCTGATGAAATAATACGTCTGGGATTTGTAAAATTCTAGGAAAAAATATTAAGATACATATATGGTATATATATACACACACACACAAACATATGAAGCAAGATTAGCAAAATGCTGATAATTGTTGAAGCTGGGTGATGGCTGCATGGGAGTTCATT